GTATAATTTTGGCGCATCAGGGAGCCGCTCTCAGGATGCGGTGTATTTACATATTTTTGAATGAGCGTTTGCGGTGTTTACTTTAACTTTCGATTTCGCGATCACACGCACCAGTGGCGTGTCCAGGATTTTATACTTGGGGTGGCAAAGAGGGGGCAAGAGCAGAATGAGGGGTGGCAACTATAGATCAGTGTTTGTACTCCCCATATATTCTGTATATTCAACACCAGTGTTGGGGAGTAACTAATTACATGTAACGGAATTACATAATTTAATTACAAAATAAATGTAAGTGCAATCTGTTACAACATTACGTAATTTAATTACAAAATAAATGTAACTGTAATCTGTTACAGTTACTGAGAAAAAAAAGTGTAATTAAATTAGCCTACAGTTACTTATGAAAATGTTAACAATTACAAAGGGGGTTTTCACACAAACACGCACATACAGATTTGATTCATTTATTTCTTAATTGCAGTGACTGCTCTAAAATACGAAGCACCAATGTTTCAGGAGTTGAATGTTTTTAGAACACAGAATAAGATGCATGCTTATTCAATAACTGTTTAATTTCCTATTTGGGTTTATGCATATGCTTTAAGATTAACTGATTTTTTCCCCAAGGCATCAGGCGGTCTCCCATCCAAGTACTAACCAGGCCCGACCCTGCTTAGCTTCCGAGATCAGACAAGATCGGGCGCAGACTTTTTTTTTATTTTTTTTTTTTTAATTATGCATATTTTTGTATATATTTACACAAAATGTAAACATGATGTAAAATTCACATTAAAGAAGATCTGCATATTTATTTATATATTTATTCATTAAGCAGAAGATTACTGCTACCTAGTTGAAAACAAACACTTATAAAATGAACATGACATGACATTACCACTATGACCAGTAGATGGCTGCAGAGGATCACTGATCCATGTATTCACTTGCCGTTTCCATTCCCTTATGTATAGTTAATCAAAGTGTGAGCGATTTATGTTGTTACTTGATAATGATATTTTGAGCTCATTTAAAATTCTAAATAACAAAATCAAAATATAAACAAAGAAGGTTTTTTGTTGATTTATAAACTTTCAACAAAAAACCTTCTTTGTTTATATTTTGATTATTTATAAACTTTTATTAAAGAAATGTGTAAAATGTTGCTCATCAGAATCATGGGTTCGATCGAAAAATGTAGGCCTGTATGTTAAATGCAGTGCAGTTTTCTCTGGATAAAAGTAGCCTATGTAAACGTAAGAGCCCTTGAGCAGATCAGATAAGACCAAATGAATGAATGAATGAATAGTAGGCTAATAATTATAATAATAATAATGATGATGATAACAAAAAAAAAAATGAATCCAATCCATCATTTTTGGGGGGAATTTTTATTTATTTATTTTTTAATTTTTTTGGGAATTTTTATTTATTTATTTATTTTTTAAAATAAGTATCTGTTCAGGCACCATTTAGGCACCGGAACCATTTTAAAAGTATCGATTTGGCACCAGTATCGAAAAAAAAAAAAACGATACCCAACCCTACTATATAGACCAAAATCATTTTTTTGAACCAGGCTGTAAACATGTTTTTTTCTGCTGTAAAGTTGGGCATTTTAACATGGGGCGTCTATGGGACTGACTCCCTTTTGCAGCCAGCCTCTAGCGGCCAGTTGACGAATTACAGTTTAAGTCACTTCCGTGTTGGCTTCACCAGAGAGAGCGGGAGGTTGCCGCTTGGCACAAGCACGTGCTTCAGGGTGGGGTATATAACAAGATCATGGTAGCTTCTATACTAGCACTAGTTAATGTCGTAAGGAACCACAAAAACTCCTACATTTCTCAAGACTTGAATAGCCAGCAAAGGTGCTCCTGCTGCTTGAAGGAGCAGACGTTCTGATCACTTTCCCAGACTGCTCTAACTTGAAAATGGCTCTTCATTAGTGGCCAGTGTTATCCGCTTAATTCCTGTCTTGGAGCCGTTCCAGATCCCCACCCTCCCACAGCCAGATGATTTTAAATGGCAGTACTATGCAGGTCCACCTGGCCAGAACCCATCAGGTTTCATACAAAGACACATTAACTTGACAAATCAAGAATCTTAAGATTCTTATCTTAATTCTGAAATGGCAATCAAACCAGATGGGAGCACTACATTCCTTTTTATTATCCTCCAATTGTCTGTGTTAAAGCTTTGAGCAGTTCCCCCTACCTGTGTGCTGCCTTAATCCTCATTGAGGTCCCTCAGGCTCCAACCACAACAGTGAGAGAACAGGCCATCCATCATTGTTAGTCCTCTCACAGCATGTGAGAAATCCAATCTACTTTTAAGTGAATAGAATGGGAAATTCCTCTTTGTGTTCATGTGTCCCCTCCTACACTTTCGACACAATAGCGATGTTCGTATAAGCTTATAAACCATATAGTGATGTCATGTTTATGTTTTTTTGGGGGGGCACAGGAGGTGCACATTATAACCTCAAACACACTAAAACAAAAACATACAATCGCACATTTTTATTACTCACCAATCTGGTTTTGCATTTTGAAGGCAATGTCAAACTGAAGGATAACCAACATGAACTGGAACCAGGGACTCATCTCTCTGTTGGGCAGTGGAATGTGGACTGCAAACACAATGTTGTTGGCCTCGATTCTCTTGGCCATGGCCTCATCAAAGTCTCTGATCTTGCTGCACTGGTCAGGGCCCCATGGCATGAACCACTTGGAGCCCTTATGGTGAGTCTTCACGGTGTCCACACACTTGGTGGCCAGGTAGTGGACGGCAGTTGTGGGGCTTGGAGCTACAGAAAAATATTTGAATATCAGTTTAAGAATAGCTTGGGAATAACGAATAATAATGTATTGATTCACATATTTTGCACATAACTACATTGGCAAGACATGAGCAAAATCTCTCATATTTATTTTTACAGGAATAGAAGATTTTTTCAATCACAGAGCATAACATTTTTAATTAAAAATGTATTTTTATACATATTTTATAAATTAAATATAATTATATAAATTCTTACATAAATTGGAAACAGCTTGTTTTACAAATTGAAATTCATACTTAAAAATTTAAAACATTTTAAAAATGCAGAGAAAAGAGCAGTAAAAGATACTTTCCAGCAAGAATGCATTAAATTGATTAAAAGTGACAGTAAAGACTTTCAGATAGTTAAATGGCATTCTTAGTCCTTTTTTTTATTCATTTAAATAATCTATAAAAACTATTTTCAACATTGATAATAATAATAATAATAATAATAATAA